CTTTATTGTAAACTATATTACATAAAATAGAGATAAAATATTTTAACTTAAACCTTTTTTTATTATTATATTATTATTATTATTTTATTTTATTTTATTTTATTACAAATCACGAAGAATATAAAAGTAGGTTATACATTTCTTTAAATTAATTGTTAATTAAAAGATATAAGCGATGTTAAAACGAAGTATCAAATATATGAAAAATGTCGGAATATATTTAAGTTAATACGATATCGCGTAATGTTATTGTAAAAATTTTCTTCTAATTTTTCAAGATTTTTCTTGCGCAGTGTTTTTTTATTATTCGACATTATGTTTCGAAGCCACCATTTCTATATATTCATTGAAAATTCAGCTCGGATTTTATTTTGAATATTGCATTGGGCTTTTTATTTATAAATACTCGAATTATCATGGAATAGAATCAATAGCGTATGCGGCGTTACCATCGTAAATACAACTTTTAAAACGCGATTTTTTTTTTGCTTTCCTGTTTATTTATAAAATATAGCAATTTTGCAGAAATAAATTATATGTATGTTATCATTGTAAAGCAATATCATGCTATCATTCTTGTATTGTAATTAATGCGATAAATTCGTAGCACGTTTATCACTATCAAGCCCATTAAATATTTAAAAACTTATTTTATATTTCTTAAATTGGTAGTAAAGCGCGAGTATTCAATCGTATGGATTGTTCCCAATATTGTAAGATGCAATGATCGATGAGCTCGACGTGAAATGATAATTTCGAGGGTGGGGTGGGGGGGTGGAAGAACCTTACACCAATGATTTTTAATATATTTTACTCGCTATCGCGAAGTCGAAAGAGTTATGCTTTAACGGCCCTTTCAGTCGCCGAAAATTATTTCCAATAAAATCTTGACGAGAATGCGCACTTCTTCGTACATGTCTTTCACGGCCAATCATATATCCATTTATGCACTCGTGTTCTTTATTACCACAATTTATCACACGCACAGTTTATCACGGAATAATAATTAGTGAACCACTAGGTTCTTAAAACCTCGTATAAGTGCGATATTTGGCATATTTTCTGCAAATTATCTCGATATGTAAAAGCATTGATCCTGTCGTGTTTCCTATTTATTTATCATTTATTCTAAGCTCAAAAATCATATAAGTACGCGGAAGAACAATTATTCGCCGATGCGTTGAAGGACGGGGACGGGGACAGCCTTTTGATACCCTAAAAGTGGTCAAGGCTCGACCTCCACGAGTATGAAAATTGTGTCAGTCCAATCCGAAGGCAACTCTCTCGACTCTTCTCACATTTCAAGGCCGAGGAAAATATTATCTACAAACCTCTCCTCTATATGCATTGAACGTTTAAGTGTGCGCGCGCGTGCGCGTGCATTTGAACCGCGTGTGCGCGATCATCGAACGAGCGAGGCACTCGTTGTGCACTAGTTTTGCTTTTGGGTGACACTGGCCGAGCACAAAGTTGCGGCTCCGACGTAAATAAAAAGTTAAGAAATCGTTATACTGGAGCGCGAAAAGTAGGCCTCCCTCAGCACCTCGCCGTTTCCTTTATATTCAGCGGCTATCTCACTTTTCCGCTTTTCGCTAATACGCGTCCTTGTTGTGTGTCGCATCGCATCGACGGGCGTTGGGTTGCGACAATGGACGGGTGGCGTCATCTGCAAGGGGCCTCGTTGGAATCGCATTTACTTTATGCATCTCTCGCTGATTAATCGACGGCGCTGTACATTTAGCCGTCTATCGAGTTGTTTGATCTTGATTCTGCGCAGAAGGCCATTAGCGCTAATAGTTCATTTGTGGCGCGGGGATTTCGAATTGGACGGATCGCCGGGGGTGTCGATGACAAAAATTGGGCGTTACGTTTGGTAATAACGTAAACCGTGGTTGAGTGGGGGCATCGCTTGACTATAATGTCAAACCATTGTCGAATGGCTTTTGATAATTTCATTAATTATAATAAAATAATTTACACACGATTGTAATTATAGAGTTCGGTCGAGTGTAGTTGTTTTGTCAGGCAAAATGTTAATTTGTGCGATAAAGAATTTCATATGTGATACTGTGGCGCATAAAAGAGGCAAAGTTAATGATAAATTTAAATGTTTTATTTTGTTGAACGAGAGTGTCGAGATTGTAGACGAGAATGAATTTAAAGAATTTTCACTTCCTTATTATTTTATTATTCAATTGTTTAATCAATAGGTGCAATACAATAACGAGGCACGTAATTACATAGGCACATTTCAGAAAATCTGTCGAAAACTGTGAAAACGTTAAACGGTAATGTTTTAATAAAAATCTATATTGAATTTCATTAATGTATAGAGATTTTGTCGAGGTATGTAGTGCGTGAATTGTAGTGGTGAAAATATGAACGAGTAAGCGTGGTGAGCATTCTATCTTTGGATTGTAATTTTAAATAAACAAAACAAAGAATTAATTGACGCGAAATTAAAAACAAAACTTTACGAGCACAAAGCCTATCGAACCATACAGCCAGCAAGTACACGTATCAGATTATCATACACACACTCTTTATATCGATTTTTCATATTTTCAAATAAACGTTATTTTCCAGTATTCCTATAAATGAAAATTTAATTATTAAAACAAAGATTACGTTTAAGTACTTTCTTCATTATAAATATTCGAAAATTCATTGTTCAAGCGTGTTTATTAGCATATAGAACATTTTAATTATTCATTACTTGATCGTTCTTCAAAGAATTCGGCTTTACGCACTTTTTAAAAAATTTATTAAGCAAAAATAACTCGTTGTATGTGCTGGTTAAATGTATCTTATTAAATTGCAGTGTCTCATTTAAAGCTAATAAGCCCTTTCTTTGATAGTTTTTCTCTCTACGTATTTTATAGCTTGAAATATTATGTCCTGTCATCTGTCATTTATATTACTATAATTTTTTTTAATTTGTCGAAGTAAAGAACAAATGACAAAATTGGAATGAATTTAATATATGTAAATCAATTAAAAATCATGTAAATATATTATGCATAAAAATATTTCTTGATATTATTTTATTATATTGAATGGTGGATGCGATGGAAGTATATTTGTTAAATAAAATTTTGACGTAATAAAAAGTTCGTATGATTGATTTCTCACTTTAAATACGTTACATACACACACGCATGCACACACATATTAATTTTAACATGGAAACTAATGCATCCGTAACAATATTTTATCGATGTTTTAGGAAAATATTGGATAATTTTGTTAATTTGTGCTCAACAGCACTTCTTATCTAATTGTTTATAAGAAATATAGATTTAAACATTTAAGGCTTCAATAGTGAAAATCGACGAAATACACGATAAGCAAGCAGCTGGTATTTTCGTTAATAAAATGAAAATAATTTTTGTTGATTTATCTTACGTTCAATAAAGTTGTAAGAAGTTTTTACAATAACTATAATAAACAAAATGATTTGCGTTCTGGAATAAAAGAACGAGTCATCTTACTTCCTATGATTTCGTAATAAGCGATTAGAAATTTTACATTACACAAAGGAACAATCGTTCCTTTATGAAATTTGAAATCTTCAACAAACAAAAAAGAAAAATAAAACAAAACAAAAAAATTCTAAATTTTACGTAGTGTATCTTTTCAGATTATTAGACATCATTAGGCATATGAAATAACGCGATACCACAATTTAACATTATAAAAGACTAATAACAATGTATTATTATATAAATTTCTTTTTTTTTTTATTTTCAAGACGTTGTAGCTGCAATATCGTGCAAGTTTAAGTATAAATATTAATATAAAACAAGGTTTTTTAAATAGCTGTAGATTGATAGAGGATTATCGCGAATGTTTTATCGACGAAATATTTTACAGTTATAAATACAAAAATGCTCAATAATTTGTATTTCAATAATACAAATTTTCACGAAATTTTCATTTTCATTAAAGTAACAATGTGAGATCGAGGCGCAACGATAATTCGTATAAAATACCGCACTACAATACAATATTTAATGTTCTATATTTGAAAATCGCGACTAAATGATTTATCCCAATGATATTTACTCCTTGAACTTGTGTCAATTTTTGCCATTTAGCAGCCATTTATTGCGCTCGCCTTATATCGCCGACTCAAGCATGTATTGTCGCTATTGTATGCACATACGTGTGTATGCGCAAATTTTAAATGTCTATATAATTCTGCACTGGTAGTTGGAATTAAGGCAATATCTTATCATTGGGCAAATTACAATTCGTTTCTAAGCAAATGACATTGAATAATGAAATATTATAAGGATTTTCAGCGTTGCTTTGAGTGAGAGCATTTGCTTTTCACATTTAACTAAATATGTGTTTATAAATAAGCTATCGAATCATCGATGTCGTCGTCGTCGTCGTCGTCGTCGTAGTCGTCGTCGTAGTCGTCGTCGTCGTCGTCGTTCCCTACCCTATCGACATCATCTGTTTCTATTTTTAAAAAATTTATATCAATTTCATATTTCGACGTAATAATTTACATTAACATAGGAGCTAAATAACGTAGATGTTGAAGCGCAACACTAGAAAATCTTAAAGTTCTTTTGTAAACTATAAATACGGTAAGTTGTTCTAAGGCGTAAATGTGGCCTTGGATCTGCAACCCCTTAATGTGCAAAAGAGATGGATATTGTATAGAAATGCAAGCTAAAGAGACAGAAAGATATAAAGCGCCCGCGTCCTATGCGCGCGTGTGTGCATGGGTGTGGGTGATCGAGAGAGAGAGAGAGAGAGAGAGAGAGAGAGTGAATGAGTGAGCGAAACGATCGCAAGGGGGCGAGGGAGAGTGTCGGTCAAATCGTCGTAGAGAAGGAGGAAAGGCGAGCGAAAGAGAGAGAGAGAGAGAGAAAGCAAATGGTGGAAGAGTTTATCGCGCGTGTGCGAGCGCGCACACACACATATAGCCAAGATACCAATAGTAGTAGTAGCAGTAGCAGCAGCAGCAGCAACAGCAGCAACAGCAGCAGGAGCAGCATTCAGTAGTAGTGTCGTTCTTTCGTTCTTCTCGTATCGAGGAAATATTTTTTCCGAGGATCGTATCGTGCAGTTTTTTCTTCGCAAACGTCACAATTGGATCCGTCAATTTTCCTATGGAGTTGAGAAAAGCGCATTCGCTGGAAGGCAACTCGAGCTGGTTGGCGGAACGCGGGGTTAACTGGATTTCATAGATCCCACGAAGATTTTCATCGTGACAAAGGAGGAGCAGTGCGTCGGAGAAAAGTTTCGCGCATCAACTTGACGCGACGTTGATGTGTGATACGGAACGAGGCATCAGTGAGAAACAATACCGAAGAGGAAAACAAGAAGCAGCGTAGTGTGCGTGCGCGCGCAGAATTGTGGCAAATACACACATGCATAGTTGAGACAAGGTGCATTTGGCCATTAGATCGAATGGGTGAAAGAGCGAGACGTAGATACGCGGGCGCTCCTATGTGTGTGTGTGTTGTCTTTTGGGATCCGCGCGCGCTACTTTTTTAGGACAGTGAGCTAGAAGAAAAATAAGAATCGTTTTAACTGGGGTATATACATTAATGTTTCTCCCCGTTCACTGTTTAATTCCCTTTGCGCATCGATGAGAGTGGCTTTTTTAATATGGCCATCGTTGCATTTCTTTCGATGTTTTCCCTTTCTTTTTTTTAGTTGGAAAGCTTCTTCTGTAACAGCCTAACCTTTACTGAGGTTGTTTGACCGTATATTTTTCATACGCGATATTTAATTTTTGTAAGGACTCGTTTGTTGTCTAGGCTTTGTTTAGAATTTTAATCGCTACAATTGGCAAACGCTGTTACATGATTAATTGTATGGTACACAAATCAAATCATAAGTCATAAGTTTTTCTCTTTCTACATGGCGATTTATAACACGATAAAATAATTAAAATTGATATCGTCATAAATTATTATTTAAATCGAGCTGCTATTCTACTTCCAATACGCTTCACATTCATAAGATGAAATTATTTTTAATATACAGATGTTAAAACAGTTTAAAACAATTTTTTTTGTTGACCTATTTATAGCTGTGAGCAGAGAACTTTAAATTCAGAATAAATATTTCTTGTTAGATGTATTGATTATAATAATAGTTTTTTATTATTCATCATCTATGAAGAATGAAGTATTGCATTATATTATATTATCGTCATGAAATCATTACACTTAAATTATATTTGTTTAAAGTTGCGTGTTAAAAATTTCTTTTATATATATGCAGCAAAAAAAAAAAATGCCGTTGAAATATTATGCCTTTGACGTTACTAACATTTCAACTTATAAATACATCGATATTATGTGAAAATTAATTAACAAAATTAAAATATACAAGCCTTATATATAATTAAGCTTTGATGTTAGTATATTTTGATTGTTATTAATTAGTTTTAATAAGATAATTTAAACGTTCGTTCTAACAAACTGTTATATTTTTAAATAAAGTTTGTTATGTTTATTATTTAATACTTATATCTTTGTTTTTTTTTATTATGTAGGGAAGGAGGGTGTACATTTAATAATAAAAATAAGAAACCATGGATTCAGAAGAAGAGACACTCTATGATGATGTAGATTCCGGTAATGAATCTAGCGGCGATGATGTCGATTTTGCCATGGAAATTGAGTCAGGAAATCCTCGTGAAAGAGCAAATGAAGTTGATGAGTATCCATTTGAAGTACTCTCCACCGAAGAAATTGTACAACATATGGTAGATTCTATAAAAGAAGTAAATACCGTAGTAGAAGTGAGTATATATTAATCGTTAATAACTATTTAGACTTAGAGAGAGTATAAATAATAAAACATTTTTTTACTATCGATCATTTAATTAATACTTTAAGTCTTTTGTTGTCATATGTGAAGCAATATTTATTGCTTATGCTCTTTTAAAATCTTATGTATTTCTTATAATTCCTTACCGATAGTTACTTTAAGAAGATAAAGGAAAATTTTTCAAGTTTATTAATAAATTCATTTTGTTCACAAATATAGTCATTGTATTATATTTTTTTCAAACCTAACACTATAAAAACAAAATATACGAAACAATATGAATATATTTTTATTGATTTTGAAGAAATTTATTCCATAAAATTAGTACACAATATTATTGTATTGATTAGTTTTTAATTTATTCTATTATATGCTTAATATTATATAAAAAATATCATGCACAGACATGTGAAATATTTAAAAAAAAAATTATATTTTGAAATAATTCTGAAATCTGAAATATTTAGAGTTTTCAGTATATATGAATATTTTTACTTGAATATTTATAATAAATATGAAGTAATTATAACTCGTTTTATTTCTATATTTAATAAATCTTAAGTATCGATATTTTTTATTATTATTAAATTCCAATAAGTATTATACGTTATAACTTGGACATTACTTTAAATTTTTTATAAATTAGTTCAAAATTAAAGGGAAAATTAAATTATCCTTTGTGTGTTATTTCTTATTGTATATATTAGCATTAATAAAATATATTATTAACTTGTAGATTCCAGCTACAACAACAAGAATATTATTAAACCATTTTAAATGGGATAAAGAAAAATTAATGGAAAGATTTTATGATGGTGATCAAGAAAAATTGTTTGCAGAAGCTCATGTAATTAATCCATTTAGAAAAGGTCAAGTTATTAGTAGAAATCGCTCTTCACAAAATTTAATGGTAAGTAAAAATTAAAATAATAAAATAATAGTAGAATAAAGATATTGTAAGGCTGTTAAGTCAAATTTAAACTGCAATTTATATTAACTCCTTTACATTAAAGTTATACTTAGGCTTATTTGTTACAAACTTAACAGTATTCATTAAATATAATGACATTTTCATTCTGAAATCGTTCTTAATTTTCTTGTTAAATTGTTATTGTATGGTCAAAAGTTTCTATAAAATCTAGAACAAATGTAAATTGTAGAGAGACTGGGATAGAATTATTTTTCATCTTCTGAGATTTTTTATCATTTAACGTATTGTCAAATATATTGTATGTATTTGCTATTTAATAATATAAATCATATTGCATAGTTGAATAAATCCATTTTGATAGTGGCAATGGATTTAAATTACAAATTGAAATTAATAGTTTTTCCTCTAAATTCAGATAAGGGCGCATTAATGAGTATTTTATTTCATAATTGTAAGTTGTAATATTTGGATTGTTTTCATTTATGTTTGTACATATATATACAATTAAATCTTAATATTGCTGATATGCTTTTTAGTATTCTAAATTTTCCAGAATCTGAAAGGGTTTGTTTATTGCTTCACACGCTAATAGTAATAAGTAACACCGAGCACATGTTCAACAAATCATATCTTTTTTTATATTTTTTTTTTTTTTTTTTTTTTTTTTTTTTGTTTCTTAATTTAACATTAGCAGATATTTCGTTTTATTTCACAATTTTTAGCAAACAGATTTTCATTGAACTAGTCATTATCAAGTTGAAAAATTTGTCCGCACCAATTCATCTAATAAATGGTGAAATACATCAGTTCAATACATTTCATATACTTAAGAAATAAAGATAGAGTAATGTATACGGTATTTTTGTAATTTGGTTCGTTTGGTGAATTGTTGATTTCAGTTAGCGATATTGTTTAATAGTATATCGTGCTTTATTGCATAATAATATTAAATAATTTCTTATACATCTTTATAATTTAAGGACGAATGTAGACAAAGTGTCAAAGCTAGAATAAATAATTACGAATTTAAAAAATAGTGGTAATCAACATTGGGAATTTTTATAACATTCGTTTTGAACATTATTAATTGTGCTGAAATACTTGGAAACAAACCATGTTGAAATGGATTATTCAACGGTCTTTGATGAATGGAAATTTTTTCTTTTTTTTTGATCTCGTGACATAGATTATTGATTTGAATGAAAGATATGTAACCTCAGGCTGTATATTTTCTTTACTGCTTTGTGTCGAGCTGGTCGAAATCAGTGTCGGAAGTGATACTGCGTAGTTCTCCGTGATATCTCGTTTGAAATGAGATTATGTACAAGCCAAAGAATATAAAATAACACTTCAATTGGATGACTAGAATTATTTGTATATAAGTCGTATGCAATATAAGTTTCTGTAAATAGTCGTCACCGCTAGTAAGGCATAATGATTTTCTTACTCTTCTTAATTATATTAGTAATAGTTTTTCAAATATTCTATTTTAAGATATAGATTTCATTGTCTTGAAAATCCGTTTTTTATGTACTAGTGAGTCACCGCACTATCAAAATAAAATGTGCAAAAATCTTAATAAATTTTAATCGTTAAGCTTTTGCGAAGAATTTATTACTTCGTCAAGCATTTGTCACGAATATTATTCTAGAAATTAGAAAATATTTATTGTATCGTTAAATATTGCTAATACGTTTAATGAAACAAACGACATACTTTTAAAAGTAATGAACGTACTGGTTTAAAATATTATTAAAAATATATATTAAATTATGATTTAACTGTTTATTTTGTGTAATGGAAATGTGGCACACACATATCTATGAAATACTAATTAATGGTAATGTTTACTTTGAATTTTTCTTACAAAGTAAATTAATTTAGAAATAATGACAAAATTTTAAGTGTTTATAATTTTAAGTATCTTATGTCATAACTTATGTCATGGAAGTACTGTCAAATAAAATTAAAATTTATATATCTCTTAAAAAAAAAAGTGATAATCACAATTAAATTCATAATTTACAGCCAAGACACACTTCGAATGGAACGGAAGAATGTGGAGTTTGTTTTATGATTTTACCATCATCTGTAAGTATATTTTAACTAAGTACCTTTTGTGTAAAATTAAGTTTTTCATATAATTTTTTCATTATTTGTTGCAGATGATGACCGGTTTAGAGTGTGGTCATCGTTTTTGTACAAGTTGTTGGGGTGAATATCTTACAACAAAAATTATGGAGGAAGGAGTGGGCCAGACAATAGCTTGCGCCGCTCATGCCTGCAACATTTTGGTGGACGATGCTAGTGTTATGCGTCTTGTAAAAGATTCAAAAGTCAAATTAAAATATCAACATCTTATTACGAACAGTTTTGTTGAAGTAAATTTAAATTTATCAATTAATTAGAATCGTTATGAGCTTTTTGAAATTATCCCCCCCCCCCCCCCTTTTTTTTTTTTTTTTTTTTTTTTTGAACATATATAAGTTTTCAAAATTACTGCTGTAATAATACAAATTTTTATTTCATTTTATTCGTAAAGTAACTTTTCTAATCTAATTGTATTCTCTCAAATTTTTAATAATAATTAATTATTGGGTACTTTTTTTAACATTATCGAGTAATCGATGGTTCATTTGGTTATGCTGGTGACATTAAATTGTCCGTTAACCATTCATTAAATAAAATGTGTGAAAATTGTGAATTTTCTATGGTTAATAAAGTTAAAAAATGTTCGTTATTAATTTCATCTTAGTAATTATAAAATTATTAGCAATGTTAATAGTTATTGCTAATAGTTTAATTATATATTGTTAAAGCACAGTAATTGCGAGCTTTGTTAAGATTTTATTTTGCAATCCTCATATTGTAACGAAAATTTAATATGTTAAACAGAGCTCAAACATTAATAGTGTACACAAAAATTTTACTATTTCATCTTTCATGTTCAGTGTAATAGGCTTCTAAGGTGGTGTCCATCTCCAGACTGTAATAATGCTATTAAAGTTCAATACGTGGAATCGAAACCCGTTACCTGCAAGTGCAATCATACCTTCTGTTTTCATTGTGGTGAGAATTGGCACGATCCAGTCAAGTGTCACCTACTTCGCAGATGGATAAAAAAGTGCGATGACGACTCGGAAACGTCGAACTGGATCGCTGCGAATACAAAGGAATGTCCAAAATGCAACGTAACGATCGAGAAAGACGGCGGTTGTAATCACATGGTCTGCAAAAATCAGAATTGTAAGACTGAGTTCTGTTGGGTTTGCCTCGGTCAGTGGGAACCACACGGCTCGAGCTGGTATAATTGTAATAGATACGATGAGGAGGACGCAAAAGTGGCAAGGGATGCTCAAGAGAAGTCGAGGTCTGCCCTCCAGAGATACTTGTTTTATTGTAACAGATACATGAATCATATGCAGTCCCTTAAATTTGAGAGTAAATTGTATGCGAGTGTGAAGGAGAAAATGGAAGAAATGCAGCAACACAATATGTCTTGGATCGAGGTTCGTCTAGCTTCTGAATTTGTTCATTTCCGTCAAGTTTTTAAGTGTATTTTTACTTATTATACGGTCAATTTTTAATAAAAGCAAAGTGATCATATTTGTATCGTTGACTTTAAATACAAAATTTTTACTTAAATGTTATGGCTAAGTGCTGTATATTTAATACATTACTTAAGAATTATAGGATATAATTTAATTGTACAGGTGCAGTTTCTGAAAAAAGCTGTAGATATATTATGCTCTTGCAGACAGACCCTCATGTATACCTACGTGTTTGCTTATTATCTTCGAAAAAATAATCAGTCTGTGATCTTTGAAGATAATCAAAAGGATTTGGAGAGTGCTACGGAATGTCTTTCAGAGTATCTTGAAAGGGACATAACTAGTGAAAATTTGGCTGATATTAAACAAAAAGTTCAAGACAAGTATAGGTAAATATGCACCTTCTTAATAAAACAAAATAATTTATGGCTTAAACGTCCATTATCAAACACTTAGCTAATTTAATGCGAAATTAATTATTAATCAAGAAGATAAATAAATAAAGAATCGAATAATAATATATAAACCTACGTTTGTTTACTTGAAAATTGCAGATATTGTGACAGTCGAAGGAAAGTGCTCTTAGAACATGTACACGAAGGTTATGAAAAGGAATGGTGGGATTATATGGATTAAGGTATTGGAAGTTGTTTTCATGCGATCTCTCATTGAATATGAGAAAAAAAGAACTTCCGAACTTTACTCCAGCTGTGATAAACCATAAAAGCTGAGAAGAGACATTAAAGAATTATGGATCATTAAACTGTATAAGATATTATATACATTGTAACATAACACCTATGTTGATGGATATAATATGGTTACAACCATTGATCTTATTAAAGAGAAATTTAAATTAAAATTCGCCAATAGGCTAAATACAAGATTATAATTGTGTGGTTTTAAAGAAAATGAAAAGACTCGAGTCTTTATTTCTATTGTTATTATCACCCTAACGTTTTTTCTCAAATTAAGTGGTGATGAATCTTATGATTTATTCATTTATATTGGCCACAGCTATGAACAGTATAAATTCAAGATAATACTACCAATTTCATAATAAAAATACAATCGATCATTTATTCATTATTCAATCCATAGTTATTAGCCTGATCTGCACAGCATTTTGTCAAACGAGTCATTGTAAATTGAAGGTTATAAAACGGAAAAAAAAAATTTTAAAAAAGGTGCTTTAAATATAAGTGATTGTGTGATCGAGATGTCAGGAAGAACCGTGCAGTTTTTACTTTCATAATTCATTGTTTTAAACTGCTTTCTTCTATCGTTGGTCAGAGTGCATACAAATTCATCTATTTGGTGTATATATTTGTGCAACAAATGATAAAATGGAAGGAAATTGTTATTCATGCAACATCAAACTCGAAAGGCTATTTACTAAGATAAAATAATACAGAGTGGCTGAGTAACTTAATGAACATGATCCGTGTCTCTCTTGATATTGGACAAGATTAAGCCTACGTTTCAACTAGGAAACTTCAAACTGAATTATTCACTTCAGAAGATTTACAAGAATCGATAGTAAACTGTCAGCAATATGCTTTTAAAACGTTCATTGTAAATTATTATTTTTATAAATAATTTAACTGAGATTCTTACAGATATGGGCCTATTCAGTTACTATGACTTTTCATTATGCTATTTATTTACATATTTACATTTTTATAAGGGTGACTTACAATTGCTGTAATAACGTGAATTTTCACTTTAAATTTGTGTTTAAAGTTATTCCCATGTGAAGAATAATATAAAATACTCGTTATTAAAGTGAAGTAAAATATAATAATTCTTAGATTTGCGTAAATATATGAATAATTTGTATCTTATATTTAAAACATAAAATTTTAATTCTGAAAAAGATGGATGCATTCTTAATCTCAGCAAACAAGATCATAAATTTACAAATGCGCTAATTGTCTATTCGCAAAACAACGTTCAATTATTTAGTATTCATGCGTACGTGTAAATATTTAAAAATGGTATCTGTGAAAATAGTTATCATTCCTTCACAATCGTTCGAATATTTTTTCACATGTATATCTTATTGAGCACTTGATTCAAAACTTCAATACTACAAAAAGGATGTGGTAAGATTATAAAATCACTCTTAAATTTTTACTTATGTTAAAATAAGTATTTTTAAACGTTTGATGTAATAATAAAAATGTTTGATAATCTGTATATAAAATTAATTATAACATTGTTATATAGCTGGATAAACATGAAACTATGTAATTAATTAATGATATAGACATCTTAAGAGTTAAATTATATAAATATAAAGACATATCTAGATTATTTTGTATGTTTGTCCGGTTGTTTGAATCAAATTTAAGACACTAAATATTATAATTCAATATGCTATCATTTGCATCCAAAAAGTAAAGTTATATTTTTCCGAGACTTTTGATCTAGACGCGGGTGCACCATTTCACGCACACAGAGGATGAAAAAACATAAAAAATAGTACTTTTACTTCACTAAAATTAAGAATAGAGTATCTTATTAAATCAATCGTGTTAGTAGTCACTTTCATAAAATTTTAATGTAAATAATATTCAGCATATATACTCGAATGGTATATTTCTTTGCAACAGAAGCTTCCCATGTCTGTTTTTATGCTTGCGCATAATTTTAATATATTGAATTAATAAAAATTACAAGATGTTAAAATTAATTAAAAAATTCTACTTTCTACATGTTTTAAAACTGTTTGTAAATATGTATGCTGTGGACAATTATGTAATACGCGAGCAGCTAGTGGAAGAAGAAGATAAAAAAAATAATAATACATTATTAATAAACTCATATATGCGAATGATCGACGAATTTATTGTCGATCCAATTAGGAACTACGTTCAAGTTCCCATGTACAGTAAAATATAGATATGTATTTGCAACATACACGTTCATATATGCATATAAAGATATGTCGATAAATTAGAAAAGGATGAGAAGAATAGAATAAAATTATAGCATCTTGTCAAACGTAATTGGATTGAAAATTGTTGATTCTTATTATTATGTCGTTATTAGAGGAAAATCAAGATATCAAAGTAATCGTTATAGAAGCTCCGAAATTTCCGATTGTCTTTATACAGTCTAAGGGTTTGATTAGAGCTAATTATAAATTGTTGCTTTATATTCGATAGTTGAACGAGGAAATAAAAGGAAGAAATTTTTTGTTTTTGCCTTGTATCTTAATTATTATTGCGGTACGAGAAAATATCTGAAGCCACAGATCAAATTTTATATCGATACGTGTTAAAGCCACATTCACGTATAAAAACTGTCTCAATGTTTTTATTTTACATATAGTAATAAAAAAAAAAAAAAAAAAATAAAAATAAAAAAAAAATAACGTCAAGTTATTTTTGTAATGCTGCTTCAACATAAACGTCAAAATAATTTTTATTCTTTTTTTTTATGTAAAATAGATTTTTTTTGTTTTTCTTTACAATTTTATTTTTGTTTTCATTGGTTGAATTTTTAATGAAAATAGTACTAAACATTGATTTCTTTTTCTTTCTTTTTTTTTGTTTTGTTTTTTGTTTGTTTTTTTTTTTTTGTTTTTGTTTTTAATTTTAACATCGTGATACGTCCAATGAAAATTCTATGCTGTGTATAAGTAATTATAAGAAAAACCAACGTTCACTTTAGAAAATAAAAAAAGACATGTAATATTTCCGTGTATATTTTTATTCAATTAATTGAAAAGTAATTGTAAAAGCGTTCAGAGAAGCTAATGAAATACAGTCTAGTAGGAATCTTATGAATTGTAATTACTCGAATCAGACAACAAAAAAACAAAAAAAAAAAAAAAAAAAAAATAATTAGCCATTGATTCCAACGTGGACCATGTTATGAAAAGTTTGGACAATGAAAAACTTATCAATTAAGTAAAATATATTTTTATTGTATATTTACTTAGGCACGTATGCTGATTGCAAAGTTTGTAAAAAATTTCACATGATTATTGAAACATTTTTGCATGTATAGTCAGTCATATGCATTAATATGTTGACATTATTATGTATATTTTAATATTAATCAGTATAAGTATGTACGACTATATAGAGAGGTTAACAATAATATATTGGAATTAAATGTTTCCGATACTAATGTTTTTTTTTTTATTATTTATTTATTTTTTTTATTATACAGTGTAGAGTATAGTTCATTTAAAGAATAATCGTGTTATTTTTTTTTAAACGGCTCATCCTCTAATTCATTGTAATTTATGATAAAATGAACTAATCGACCCTTACACTTTGAAATTACTTCACTTGATAAGTTTTTATTCTCTATATTTATGATGAAGCAATAGTAGCTAAATGTAAAATCATAAAGTTTCCTTTGAAGAGAAATAACATTAAACGAGTTTTACTTGTGTAAAACGTTTTGTAAAATAGCCACTGACTCTGTATTATAGCGTGTAAAATGAAAAAAATTTAGTTCGAAATTAATCATGTACGTATAATATGAGAATTGTGTACATTGATATTACATATTTGCTGTAACGCTGCGCGCCAAGAAATTCAAAATTGTTGATGAAACTTTCAAAACCTAAATAATAATCCTTGCTTTAGTGTATTAAAAGAAAAGAAAAAAAATTTAGTTTTAATAGATTTATAAAAAAAAAAGTAAAAAAAAAAAGGAATATTTAATATCTTGTTATTTTTTTAATTTAAATGATTTTGTAACCATAGAATATGAAGGAGCGATGAGAATAAGAGGAATGATAATTATTTAAAGAATATTTATTATCACCAGAAATTCGTACAAAACTTTTATAAAGGACTAAAAAAAGATATATACCAAAAGAAAAAAAAAAATTTTTTTTTATTTTTTTTTTTTTATTATTTTTTTTTTTTTTGCGTCATTGAACTATTAATAGTAACTGTATTGTAGTAAAAAGTTGTAGACTATATTATTTCATAGTCGATGAATTGATGAATGAATTGCTTTTGCAACTGCTGCTCGTAATGGAGCTTAATTTGTTATTTATTTTCTACCTAGAATAAATTATAAATAAATACAAAATAGTTTGCGCCTACCTAAATTTATCGTAATTTAAAAGTTTTTGGAGTACAAACGTCTAAACATTGATTTCGAGTATTTTCTTTCAAAATTTACTTGGAACGTCTTCGAAATATGTTGTTTAAACAAGATATCTTAGGAATTGAACTAGACGATTGATTATACAGTGGTATGAAATACGATATCAAATAGGGAACTTGCATTGTCATTTTTGTTCTTTCTCTCTTGTACACGAGGTACTTATATATTTCTGTCGATTATGTAAAAGAAGAATTTTAAAAATTGGACGAAAATTATCTTTTACAATGGACATTTACATATTTTCCATTTCTAGTTTGAGCGAGTACAAGTCTTATAAATACTGGATCGTCTTCTCGATGCTAAAAAGCGTGCATAATTTCTTTTATCGTAGGATCACAGGATGTATAAGTACGCGACTGAAACATTAATCGGGCGTGTCGTCAAAGTAGTTCGGCATTGCGAATCAAGAAGTCACCGACAGAATTGTGGCTACCAGGCCAAGCGTGGCACCAGTCATCAGTAAACTTCGCCAAACTGCTCCACTGACTTCTTCTGCCACAGGATATTCTATACATAGCTGTTCCTAAAAGACGTATATTTTTAAATAGAAAATACGACTATTTGAATTTCATGTCCTTAAATGATAAAATAAAATGAATAAAAATCAATCTGTTATGTTAAGATTTTGATTTTTTGTCTAAATATTAAATATTGATAAGCTATTTGCATCAATTGTTTCTCCATTTCTTATATTAAAGAAGCTACAATCACGTAAGTTTTCCAAAGCTTTAATAATTTTAAGCAAAAATATAATCCAATTCCATTAACAAAGGTGGAAGCAGCAGTTTGTCCAAGTAATTATTGTCTGATTGAGTAAATATATTTTGTGCACAATGGTCAGACATTATGGTAACCATAAAGTATATTAACTATTTGACCAAATCATTTACTTCACGAATAATCCACTTTTGTGCTGGAAGGATCAGGTAGAGAACGATTGGTCCGATCCTCTTTCTACATCCTTAATTTTTTAACTTTTTTATTGTCTTTTTTTCTCGTTTCATTTTAACCAATGGCGACGCGCACTTTGCTAATTTTATGCTAAACTCAACAATCCAAGATATTAACAATAAAAAGTTTTAACGAAATTCTACTTATCGCTAGAATCACATAACGTTATAATCTCCCGGTTCATTACGAGTAATCCTTAAGCACAATGTAAATGACCCTTAGTTCCAAAGAAACAGTTATTCATGAAGGAGAGCGGAGAAGCAAAGAGATGGAAGAAAAAGGAAAGCATTAAAAAATTAATGTTATTATTTGAAATTCCAATTGACTTTCAATTTAATGCATTACTTTATGAGTGATTTATCGCATGCACGATACATACCCATCCGCCATAAATTTTTATAAACTGTGCTATTTCTTCGCCAATGTATCTGGAAACGTACAGTGGAAGCTTCTGCTTGAGACTGTGCATTCGTCTATCTCTTGCCCACAGCGCCAGCCTTCCCATGAATGCGTACAAACAAACTATTCTGGCCCATGTTTTGCCTTGAAGGAATAATTCGTCCGCTACACCGGTAAAGGCTTCGTACGCCGTATCTGGTACAACATTTAATCTGTTCACCATACTCGTGAAGAGTATGCTGTGCTTGTTGAGCATTTGATAGACATTGTGACGCATACTGCGAGAAATGGGATCTCTAGATATTAGATAAATGTCTTCTTTAAGAAGATATCTGATCACATCATTAGCCAGACATTCCGCCGTGTGTTCTATAGAATCCTTATAGAGAATACTAGTCTGGGGTGGTATTAATTGTGGGAACAGCTGTTGTAATCGAATCTGCAAAAGGAAATTATTTCGTTACAAAGTGCCTCCCACTACATTGCCTCATATCGAGAATAATACGTAACAAGGGTTGTTCAATTTATCACAATAATCATGTTTCAGAGCTCAGAACAAAAGCTCGTTATCCAGTCCCCCACCCTCCTACCCAGTCATAAATAAAAAAAAAAAAAAAAAAAAAAAAAAAAAAAAAACAATGTAAATGCAAAATTATAATTCATCTAGGCCATGGAGCCAAGGGATAAATAAATAATTGAGATACGCATTAAGAACTTGGGTACGCTGGACTTGATAGACTCTGCCCAGCCTAAGGTCCTAAAAGCCTACCTACTCCGTCGAACTTTACTATCACTCAACAAACTAATATTCATTGGGATCGTAACAATTTTTGAATGCACAAAAGTGTGGCGATAATTCAAGAAGAGAATTTTATCTAATACAATAATATTTGGCAGTATCGATAATCCATCCACACCGATTATCAAATAATCAAGGCCAAACATTAAACAGTGTACGTCACGACTTCAAAATGGTGCTTCATCAATAATCAGCTGAAAACGTACTTCAAGCCTGAAAATATGCAAGATTCCAATTCTCTTTAAGCATCCGCTCTTTCAAATTTCTAAGGCCTTTTGCAACCACAGCGGACAAACATTTATCCCCGAAAACCGAGAGGGATGCAAACAAAAGCAGAAAACAAACACCAACCGTTATCCCAAGCTACATTAAACTTTCATTACCAAATTCACGAAATATTTTTCGTCAATAGCCTCTCATTCTTTCGACCTCAGTTTTACGTCATTCGCCGTGTTGAATTGACTCGGTACCACTCACCCACCCAGCAGCCATTCCCCACTCTCGAACTCTCCCCAGAAGCCCAAATTCGCGCATCACCACCCCCGTCCATCCGCACAACAATTCAAACTTAATATCACGTCGAACGATCCTCAACTCGATACTCTCACGTCTCATTCACTCTCTCTCTCTCTCTCTCTCTCTCTCTCTCTCTCTCTCTCTCTCCTCATATTACCAAACATAACCGACAATCCTAAAACCAGCCTCGAGCAGTTGCCACACTCCAGCCTTGGCTCCTCCGTACATCCCCAAACAGAACATCCTACCTGGCAGACCTCGACGAAAGACATGCCGCTGCTGGTCGCCTCGGTAGCATAGCGGCAGAAACCGTCGGTCACTGCTTCTGAAGCAGTCAGCGACTGCTGTAGCTGTAGCTGTTGCTGTTGCTGTTGCTGTTGCTGCTGCTGCTGCTCAACGCTCGACGAATTCTTGTTGTTACCGGGGGCCGCCGCCACCGCCGCCGGATCGCATTCCAGAATGCCGCCCACTCTGGAATGCGGTTCCCTCCGCGCGACGCAGGCACCGACGGCCCCCTCCACCTTCCTCTCGCTCGCTCCATGGCTCTCATTGTTCGTGCTCGCCGTTCGCTCACCGGCCATCCTCTTCCTCTTCCTCCTCCTTCTCCTCCTCCTCCTCCTCCTCCTCCTCCTCCTCCTCCTCCTCCAACTCCACCACTTCCTCCACCAACTCTTTCTGCTCCTGCTTGTAGTCCACCGTCGTCGTTGCCTCTTTCTGGTTTGCTTCCTCGCACGCTCTCGACGTTCCTTCTTGGTTCCTTTTGTCGATTGGTCTGACGTGCCGTGCCACGGCTATGGGAACCGCGCGACCTAGTGCCTCCTCTCCCTGGTACGTGCTTCAACACTCTCGGCTTCAGCTTCGAGTATCTGTATATAGGAGGTGGACCGTCCGAATGCCACCGGACGAGCCTCGCGCATTCTCTTCCCTCCTCGCTCACCTACTCCGTATCGTCCTCTTAATCAAATTGTTGTCTCTGGACATTGTTCGAAGAGCCTTTTCTCTCTCTCTCTCTCTCTCTCTCTCTCTCTCTCTCTCTCTCTCACCTTCTTGATTTTCTTCAAGGGAGGCTCGATGATAGCCGTTGCTCTTCTTTTACTCTAAATTGCGAATAAAAACAAAAACTAACCTAAAAAAAGGATCTTATTTTGAGTTCGGCGATTGGAGCCGGGCACCAGCGGCCGCCCTGTCCTTGACTCTACGACGAAATAAGCTGTCATTTTAGGAATAAAAGCGCCCGTTAATTAGCTTAATTTTATTCGGCGCTGCGTCCGTCAGCTGCGCTGGTCGGAGACTCGGCAGCGATCGATCATCGAATTGGCGAATAATTGGCGAATAATTGGGGACTTGTCGGTGACGAGAGGTAGACTCCGCTGGCCACTGCCTCATGCGATGCCAATCCTAATGCCGACAAGCTCTTCTCGCGATCTCCCCATCGATTCCCTCTTTCTACCTCCACCTGGCCTTCGCGGCGGTTTGGTTCTCTTGGCTGGCCAGGGGCGCTCGATGTAAGCACCGCAGCCCTTTTATCGATATCCCCGCACGAGCGCGTAGGACAATAAAAAAAAAAGGGGGGAAACAACAAAAGAAAAACAAAGAGAAATCAGTGTCGCGCAAAGTCCACCGGCTGGACCACCGCTGTTGATTGAGGGCACAAGTCTACCTTGTCTAGTCTCTCATGGGTTTCGCGACGGCCAGAGACGGGGGGCGGTAGAGTCGTCGTCGGGGGTGGCGCGTGCTCGTGGCTCCCAGTTGCCGAGGCAGAGTAAAAGAGGGCTGGGGCTGTACGTACCGATTAGGAGGTCGGGCTGCTCCCCTTGTGGATGCCAGCATCTCGGGCGGGCCGACGTGCACCGCCGCCGAGGAGAGACGGAGAGAGAGAGAGATCCGCGAAGAGCAGCAGTCACTCTACTTTCCCGCGGCCATGCCGAGCGCAAACAGCAGCGAACAGCGCCTCAGCAGCGGCTCTCGCTCTTTCCGCAGCCCCTACCAGCGACCGTTCCTTCCCCTCCTCACCGACCTGACCAACTACTACCCCCCCCCCCCCCCCCCCCCCCCCCCCCCCCCCCCCG